ACCTAAAGCCTAATTTTGGTCTAATGATTAGCTGGGTATGTGCGACTGTTCTTTTTGCAAATAAGTGACGTTTTTGAGGAAACACCAGCAGAGAACTTGGCCGAGGGCATCATCTCTTTACAAGTGTGACAGACTCAGGTCTAACATATGCCACTCCTAATATCTAGCTTGAATTTCCTCCTCAGAAGACAGTAATTGCTGCTCTTCTTGCAATGTTAAAGCTCATTTTCCATTCAAAAAGTCTTATTTTAGATAAAATGGTTCATAAGCAATGAAAACAAATGTTTTACTATTTCTTGAATGAGTGGACTTTCACCTTCTGAGGAAGGAAATCCAGTATGACTGCCACTAGTGAGGTGTTTGTATGTAAAAATGTTTGAAGCTAAATTACAATGTTATGCTACTTATATGGGTAATACATTTGGTAAGCTACTTATTTTCAATAATGTTTACTCATCTGTTAAATGCAAAGAATGGAATTCAGGAAAACCGTGATAGAAAGATACATAGAGACATTTTACAATTTTGAAACAAGCAACATGAAACAGCTGTTGAAAACAATTTTTTTCAATAAAATTTTCCTGCTTTCAAGTTATGGAAACATGGAACATTTTTAAGAAATTTCTTAATATTTGATTACATTTTATCTGAAACATTTTTCCTTTTTTGGAAAACTTTAAGCCATTTTACTCATTTAAACTCATGTCCCTCACAGTGCAATAAAGGTGCCTGAGTTGTATTGTTACTGTACTGTACAGTTTTCTGTTTTCTGCTACCCCCAACTGGATACTAGTGTGAGCTTGTGCATGACTAGTGTGAGCTTGTGCATGGGGCTCTGTTTTTGATAGATATGGTGGCAGGCAGGAATAAAAAATACATTTTTCCCAACAAAGAAATTAAAAATAAAAATATTTTTCGCTAGAAAATCAAGTTGGAGACTGGGAGTTATAGGACATACTTACAGGATGGGGGACTCTATCATGCAAAACTGTGACCCTGAAAAAGATTTGGGGGTCAAAGTGTCTGAACATGAGCTGCTAATTGAGTTAGTGGCATACAGAGCCAATCCAATCCTGGAATGTCTAAACAAGGGTGTGACTGAGCCAACAGGCTCCGCTCTCCCGGAGCAGGGGCCACACGGGAGGAGACCCGCATGGCGATGTGGTTACAGGGGGCTGGCACGGGCACCACTTGTGGAAGAACCACCATGCTCCATATGCCGGGACTGGAGATTGTGCTGGAGGAGCCGGGGTGATTGCTCTGGTGCAGGAAACCCGCGCATGTGCGGCTGAGGCAAGTGGCTGTGGTGAGCTGGCCCTTCCCTCATGTAAGGAGAGGGAGAGCATACAATGGGCCAGCGTGCGCGTCGTATGGCCAGGGTAATGTTGTGGTTCGGTCTTCAAAAGAGACCCACCATTGGTCAAAGGGGGAGAAGCAGGAAAGGTGAGCGAGGACAGAGCAGTGCACAGGAGAAGGTGGGCGAGTAGGTCTGGCAATGGGGCAGCTGGGATGTGCGGGCTGAGCATCAGGGATCAGGCAAGGAAGGAGGAAAGCAACAAAGGAGGTGAGTAGGAAGTGGCCCAGGGTACGGCATCGTGCCTGTGGGTCGATGCATTTCGGGCAGTGTCCCCATCGATCGTATGGAGAAGAGAGAGAGATCTCACCTCCCTTAGGGCCCTGGGCTGGGACCTGGAGGAGTGGGCGGGCCTGGGTCCCCCTACCTCCCATCTCGCTGGCGTGAAGCGGGACGCAGAAAGAGGTGACTAGCTGGAGAACTAATGATTGCATTACAGACGCTGATCCCTCTGTAAGGCAGCTGGTGTACTGGTTTGGGGAAAATAACTAGACTCGGGCGGGCAACAGGACCCAGACCGGGACCTTGGGGTGGCGCACCCATACAGCGTGGGATGCGTTCGCTTACAGATGGAATCTTGAATAGAAATAGATAAATTATTTTATCTCTGTATTTGGCAAAGTGTGACCAATGCTATGTCCAGTTCTTGTGCCCACAATTCGAGAAAGATATTAATAAACTGGAAATGGTTCAGAGAAGAGCCATGAAACTGATTAAATGTTTTGAAAACCTGCCTTATAATTGTAGGCATGTTTTCTTTAGCTTAACAAAAAAAAAAAAAAAAAAAAAAAAAAAGACTAAGGAGCCACTTTACCATACTCTAAGAGTATCTACATAGAGAACAAGTATTTAATAATAAGCTCTTCAATCTATCAGAGAAAGATATAAAATGATCCAGTGACCAGAAGTTGAAGCTAACCCAATTAAAGTCTGGAAGGAAGGCATACATTTTTGACAGTGAGAGTAATTAACCATAGGAATGATTAACTAAAGGACTTTGTAGATACTCCACCACTGGCAATTTTTAAATCAAGACTGAATATTTATTAAAGAGATGCTCTAGTTCTATTCTGTGGAAAAAGATGGCAAACCAGATCATCGCAATGCTCCCTTCTAGCTTTGGAATCCGTGAATCATTCTCTTGGCATGTGCTATGTACTAAAGCAACTGCAGGGATTAAATGAGATATATGGTAATGTGCAGTAAATTAGCCATCATATACAGACAGAGTGAGGGCAATGGCAGTAAAGATTGAGGAGGGTACTGCAGTACAGGGACACAATTAAGAGGCTAAAATCAGTCAGTCCCTGAGTCCCACCACAAATGAGAATCTACCATACCCGTGTACATAGCCAGATGTAAGCCTGTGGCCTGAAGATTTAGAGGGAAGGGAGTTCGTTATTCTCATCTATTGGTAAAATGGGAGATGAACAGCTCACAGCAACTTCAGATTTACAGATAGGAAGGCGCTTCACTGCCAAGGGAAATCTCTGCTGGCATCAGTCAGAGGGCAAGGAGAACTGACTAAATGGGACAGGCTTTATTTGCATATGATGTGAGGACATAGGGCCTTCTGAATAAAATGCAATTTAGTTTTTCTTACTAGAGCAATTAAAGGCAGTTGATTTTGTCAGGGTGCCAACAGGCTTGCCAGGCCCCAGGACAAGGCGGAAGGTGGGGGTATAGCTCTGCGCTCCCAGAAGGGGCAGGGTGTTGGGTGGAAGGGGCGGGACCGGGACTCTCCCCCAGGCAGCCCTCAAGGACACTCGGGAGTGCACAGCTCAGGGCTCTGGTGGTGATTTAAATGGCCCAAGTCTCCAGTCGCCATTGCTGCAGTAGCAGCAGCAGCAGCCAGGAGTCCTGGGCCCTCTTGAATTGCTGCGTCCTGGGCCAGTTGCCCCCTTTGCCCCTTCCCCCTTCCCATTGGCAGGCCTGAACCTTGTTGAGAAACACAAGGACAAGACACTGAATGTGCCTGAGGTCACCTGACAAAGATTGTGGTCAGGAGCAGTTGAATAAAAGAGCCTGGTCAGAGGTAAGGGAGCAAAAGAGGGAAAAGGCTCCTGACAGATGCTGCAGTTGCTTCCCACCTCTGATCTCACCCTGAGACTTGAGCTAAGACTGCTGAACAGTGCAAAGTCTAGGTAGCTTCAAGCAGTAGTGGCAGTGTGGTGGCAACAGATGATGCAAAGCAGCAGTGGCAGCAGCTACAAGGTGACATATGGCACAAAGCAGTTGTAGCAGCAGCACATCCAAGGTGATGGGTGGCACAGAGCAGCGGAAGAGGCAGGCAGCTTAGACTGAAACCATAGAGCAGCAATCTATCCCAGGGACTCTCGTATGGACCTCCATACCTAGCAATTAAAGCTGAAATCACTTCTTCTGAGTTAGGGAATGGAACTCCCAGAGCTACCCAGCTAGCAATGACCTGCTAGAGTCTTTGGATTTCTCCAGGATAACTAACTGTGAGTAGGGAACTATGGATGTAAGAAGTGGCCAGAACACATCAGTCACCCTTACTGGTCAAAGAAGGGCCAAGGTGGATACTACTTTTAAGACATCCTGGGAGGTGGGAATCTGACAAAAGATTTGTTAATGTGTTACTTAGTGTTTTTCCCAAATTAATTCTGTTGTCTTTCTCCCCCTGTCCATCCCCAAAGTTCTCCTTTTTTACAGCCTTTGGACTCAGTGGTTACAAGTGGGGAAGATCTGCCCATAAGGAGTAGTCAGAGTGGTTATGAAAGTTTCCAGATTTCTGTAGAGGGGTTGAAGCTAGTGATATTTAAGTCCTTAGGAAACTTCTTGAAAAATTGAACCTAGCCATTTTTGCTGCCAACAGTACCTGGCAAAAGAGTAACCGAGACTGTGGGGAAAATAGCCATATATTATCTCCCTTATTAGAATTTCTCTGAAAGCTGTTAAAGCCTTCCCATGATCTAATCTCTAGGCTCGATAAGCTTTCTCTTAAATTCTGCTGAATTCCATTTTTCAGCTCTCTCTCATGGAGGAGCTATAATTCTTGTGCAAACATTTCCACCCTTAGAAAATTTAAGCATTATCTTCATTGTACCAAATCTTTCAAGTCCCAATGTGTCCAATTTACAGGTTGAACATGCATAGTATCTGTCAGATGAAACTAACAAAAATAAAACAACGTTTAAACTAGGCTGGACCCCTATGGCTAGTTAAATGAGTGAGCTACAGTTTGAAGGACACATAATCTACTGTTATAAGCACAAGACTCAAAGCTAGAATCTCCTGAGTCCTACTCTACCTTAGACACTACCTCTCCTTCTATGAAACTGTATAGAATACCCCCATATAATACTTATCTTACATAGGTACAAAGAGGGTTAGTTATTTTTTATACAGCACCTTCAAGGATTATAAATCTATATTTTTCCTTTTTCCTTATACTAGTCGTAATTTGAGGATCTTTTGGCAACTGCATCAGATCATTTTTATTAAGTAGGCTCTTGTTAACTGTAAACAAAACTTGGCAAAGAATGTCAGGATAATCTGTCCTCTCTTGCCCCATGTGATGAATTTAATGGTAAAAATGTAGCTATTTCCTTGAGAAAATATATATTGAAGTATAGCCATGAAAAACCATATAAAATAGAAGGAATAAGCACCCTATACCTACTTGACATCATCAAAAGCACTCATCTGCAGCTTCAGGAGACCTGCCACATCCTTTATTAACTCCACACCCTTTTCCGCATTCAGTGGGCTGTTGAAAGGAAGCAAGAAAACACAGCATTATGAAAATGGAACTCATCAATACTTGAGATGCTAAAAGTCCCGAAAGAGTTATCACCTCGGCCTGTCAGAGTCTGAAAATCATTGTTTACTGTATTCCTGTCACATAGCAATCGTGATATCAAGGGAATTGGGATCAGGTGCTTCTTCAGGCATGATGAATCACCTGAATTTTCCAGCAATAAGACAAACAATAAGGTGTAAATGGAATTGTTAGGAAGTGTAATGGGCCCATCATGCAGTGACCGGTTCATCTCAAGCCTCAATAAAAAATGTAATAAAGTAAAAAAAAAAAAAAAAGAGAGAGAGAGAGAGAGCGAGCGAGAGAGAGAAAGAGAGCAGAAAATAGTGGCGAGACAAGGATGGAAACAATGAAAGTCAAATTGTGGGACTCTCTATCAAATGGACAAGGGAAAAGCATATTTTTAAATTCATTAGTTTTTTTAAATGAATCCTGCCCAGAGAAAGGATACAAAGATATTATGGATTTGAAGGTAAACAATGGAGATATACACACATAGAGCAGGGGAGGTTGATTAGGTAGATAGAAGTCACTTTGGTGTCTTTGTGCTGCTGACATAATCTGCCTTCAATCTTTTTAAACTTTCTCAGTGCCACATTTACATTTTTTTAATTTAGAAAACAAGATGCAATCAAGCATAGCACATGTGCAGTGTTATCATTTAAGAAAGCATTTAGCTACATGCAAAATTTCCATTTATAAAAAGTTTCAGGTTATTAGTTGAGAGTAATTTAGGCTTTTATAACTCTAAAGATATGTTGTGAACATTATATTTTCTGTCTGTGATGTTGTGATGGGACGACTCCGCCCCACTCCAGTGGTGCGAGCTCACCCCGCACCTGGGCCGCTCCGATCCCCATGTTGTCCAGGAAGTCGGCTGCAAACCCCCCTGGCTGCGCCGCTTGTTCCCACGCCACAGTTCAGCTGAGTCGCAACATCAGCAGAGAAATGGGAGGGCACCTGGCCCCTGTGAGGTGGGGGAGGGGGCACAGAGACGTGGCGGAAGCAAGGGGTGGGGCTAAAGGGTGATGGGAGAGCAGCGTGACACCAAGGGGAGGGGGGAGGGATGGAAGTGTCCCGGCGGGGAATTCAAAAGGAGGAGACAGGATGCCAAGGGTGGGGAAAAGGTAGGAAGGAATGTAGGAGACGAGAGAATGCACCGGGGACCATGAACCAGACTTGTGGGGGTAGGAAGTAGTCCAGGGCAGGGCTTCCTGCATATTGCCTGAGGACTGGTGAGTTTTAGCAGAAGCCCCATATTGGTCCTTAGGGCCCTGGGTTGGGACCCGTGTGAGTGGGCGGGCCCGGGTTCCCATACCTTCCCCCCCCCCCCCGCGGGAGTGCCTTGGAAGAGGGACCTTAAGGGATATTTATTGACAGGACCGAAACACATCCTCTGGGGCGATGGTCCAAAACTGAGTAAATAGCCTATGGGCACACGGCAGATGGAGCCCCAAAGGAGGTGAAACCACAAGAGAAAGGGGGTATGGCCGAAGACCCTCTTACACTGGTGGATAATGTGGGTACGTTAGTCCCTAGGACCCTGTTGTGAGGGCATGAACAAGAATAAGGCCATACTGGACTGGACAGGCCTAGTTAGCTGGGGATGCTGGGTTTTTCTTTTTTCATTTGTTTTCTCTTTCTTTCCTCCCTCTCGTTCCGCTGTTCTTCATCAATCTCTTCCCCTCAGGGAGAGAAAGTTGGGGGGGGGGGGGGTGGCACAATGGAACCAGCCAAGATATTTGAATGGGTTGCTGAAAACCAAAGGCAGCAACAGCAGCAACAGACGGTTTTGATCCAGTAACTCATGGCACAACACCAAGAACAACAGAGGCAACTGGTGAAGGACTTGGCTGAACAGTTCCAGATGCAGCAGGAAAGGTGGGTCCATCAACAGGGGGCCCAGGGACTAGGACGGGTAGTGCTCTTGGGATCCGAGGATACCAAACAGGATTCCCCAGTGCAGTTGCCTATATGGCTCATGAAGATGGGCCCATCTGACGACCCCAAGGCCTTCTTAACGAAGGGTGGCCACAGCGGCCCGGTGGCCAGAGCAACACTGGGCCACCCTACTGGCCTCCTACCTGACCAGGGCCGCACAATTAGCCTACCGGGGCCTAAACCCCAGGGAGGCTTTGCATTATTATAAAGTAAAAGAAGCTATCCTCAATCAGATGGGGGTAACTCCACAGACATTCCACCAGAGGTTTCGGCAGAAGCGCTACCCCCCGGGGCAAGGTTCAAGGCGGTTGCCCAAAGGTTAAGAGAGTCTGGGTGGTGATGGCTAGAGCCAGACCAAAGAACCAGGACCCAAGTGGCTGAGATGGTGATTTTGAAACAGTTTCCGCAGGGGTCTGTTTTGGGACCGGCTCTCTTCAATATCTTCATCAACGATTTAGATATTGGCATAGAAAGTACGCTTATGAAATTTGCAGATACCACCAAGCTGGATGGGGTTGCCACTGCTCTGGAGGGTAGGGTCATAATTCAAAATGATCTGGACAAATTGGAGAAATGGTCTGAGGTAAACAGGATGTAGTTTAATAAAGACAAATGTAAAGAGCTCCACTTAGGAAGGAACAATCAGTTTCACACATACAGAATGGGAAGCGACTGTCTAGTAAGGAGTACGGAAGAAAGGGATCTAGGGGTTATAGTGGACCACAAGCTGAATATGAGTCAGTAGTGTGATGCTGTTGCAAAAAAAGCAAACATGATTCTAGGATGCATTAACAGGTGTATTGTGAGCAAGACACGAGAAGTCATTCTTCCACTCTACTCTGCGCTGGTTAGGCCTCAGTGGGAGTACTGTGTCCAGTTCTGGGCACTGCATTTCAAGAAAGACGTGGAGAAATTGGAGAGGGTCCAGAGAAGAGCAACAAGAATGATTAAAGATCTAGTGAACATGACCAATGAAGGAAGGCTGAAAGAATTGGGTTTGTTTAGTTTAGAAAAGAGAAGACTGAGGGGGGACATGATAGCCATTTTCAGGTATCTAAAAGGGTGTGATAAGGAGGAGGGAGAAAACTTGTTCATCTTGGCCTTTGAGGACAGAACAAGAAGCAATGGGCTTAAACCGCAGCAAGGGAGGTTTAGGTTGGAAATTAGGAAAAAGTTCCTAACTGTCAGGGCAGTTAAACACTGCCATAAATTGCCCAGGGAGGTTGTGGAATCCCCATCTCTGGAGATATTTAAGAATAGGTTAGATAAATGTCTATCAAGGATGTTCTAGACAGTAGTTGGTCCTGCCATGGGGACAGGGGACTAGACTCGATGACCTCTCGAGGTCCCTTCCAGTCCTAGTATTCTATGATTCTATATTACCCAGAGGGAGCCAGAGATGGGTACGACGTAATCACCCCACCACCTTGCAAGAAGCCATCAAGCTAATGGAGGATTACGCAATGGCTGAATCAGTGGAGTACTGTGGGAAACCAACCTGGGACACTCCCCTGCCGGAGGCGGAGATAGGATGTCAACCACACCCGACAGAAAACAGTGAGGCAGGGCCAGCCCAAGGCCTGGGGTGAATGGACGTAAGGCGCTTAGCACCCGTATGGTTGGCACCATCCTGAGAGATGCTGACCCATAGGGACTCTCAATCAGGAGAGAAGGGGCAAGTAAAGGCCCACCTCAATAAGGGGGCCTGTTTCCAATGTGGTCAGGAAGGATACTTCAAGAAAGAGTGCCCTTACATGGACTGCACTTTCAGGCAAGTGCTAACGGGAGACAATGTGGCGGGGAGCAAGGAAGGTGAAAATTTTTTACGAACAGTTGAGATAGAGGGTAAAGAAGTCATCACCCTAGTGGACTCAGGATGCGGGCAGACCCTAGTGAGGGAAGATTTGGTGGAGCCCGGTGGAACTCAAGGTCCCCCCATCTTTGTACAGTGTGTACACAGGGATGTGAAGCCATATGCAATGACATTGGTTGAGATTAAAGAAGGATCAAGGGGGGCATGGTGCTATGTGGCCATCGTGCCGGGGTTAGCCTACCCAGCCCTCTTCGGACAAGATTCAAAGAGATTCCACTGGGTACTCACAAAGGAAAGAAGGAAAGGAGGCCCTCCTAGGGAAAGGAGACGACGAAGAGGAGCGGCAGGAAACCGGTCCAGAGCCTAGCCACAACACCCAAAGAGGCCCCAGAGAACAGGACTGGCAGGGCGACTCAACAGAGATGCCACAACTCGATTTATGGAATGGGGACTTTCTGAGAAAACAAAGAGAGGACCCACTATTGTGACAAGCCTGGGAAAACGCCACGAGCTGGGACGAACAGGAAGAAACCGACTGCCCGCTGGCTACCAGACCCCATTTCAAGGTACACCGGGACAGGCTGTATAGGATTGTGGAAGGGGTGGAGGGCGGAGGAAGGGTGCAGCAGTTGTTGGTCCCATGGCGGTACCAGAAGCATCTCTTAGAACTCGCACATGCTAGCACATGAAAAGATGTCCCAACGAATACTGCAGACGTTTTACTGGCCGGGGTTGTATTGGACGGTGCAGGATTTTTGTAACTCCTGCCCTGAATGCCAAAGGTGTAACCCCCTGGTGCGCTTGCTGATAACTGAAGTACCATTTGAGAGGATTGCCCTAGTCTTGGTAGGTCCGCTGGAAAAGACATGAACAGGGTATCAGTATATCCTAGTTGTTTTAGACTATGCAACGCAGTATCCTGAAGCTATACCCTTGCGGAATATGACAGCACCTGTTATAGCGGCTGAATTGATAAAAATCTTCTCAAGAGTTGGGATACCCCAAGAAATACTCACTGATCAAGGGACTAATGTAACTTCAAAGTTAATAATAGAACTATGTCAGTTATTAAAAATTAAGACAATAAAGACCTCTGTCTACTATCCGCAGATCAATGGGTTGGAAGAAAGATTTAATAGAACTCTAAAAGGGATGCTGAAGAAACGCATAGACGAGGATCTCAAGGAGTGGGACA